GTCACCCACTACTATGTAAGTAAGCTCAATAAATTCACTGGTTTCCCAGAATGCAGTTTGGTAAAATTGGTCCTTGATTTGTCATGGGGACCAAAGGAGGATGGGGCTGGACATCGTTTGCACCTCCCAGAAGGGATTTAGCTACACTGGGGAAGTGTCCTGGGACGATACGCCTGTCCTGGCCAGCCACTTCTGCTGTCTCTCGGCTTCTAGTCCACTGTGAGGTGAGCAGCTCTGCCCCTTTCTACCTCTGCCACCATGATGCGCTCCGGTAGAGCCAAAGTAAACATTTCCTCATCCCAAGAGGTCTTTTAGGAATTTGACACAACAACAAGAAAGTGACTAACATGGTCACAAGTGCTCAGGGAGCTGTGGAGTCCAGATATTTCTTAACGGTTACCAGGAATTTTGTGTCAGACTGTGTTTATTCAGTGTCTCGTATCATACATGTGTGATAGGCATGGCTACTCACTGAGAAGGGTGAAGGCAGGTGAAACAACATAGGGTACTAGCTGTGTTTCGAAAGTCCTCAATTGCCAGTGCAACACTGTGACAGTATGTAGAGGTAAGAATTTTAAAGATGTATGTATTTATTTATTTATTTACTGTATGTGTATGTGTGTGTGCCTGAGTGTGTGTATGTGTTCCGTGTTCATGAAGTACCCATACAGGTCAGAAGTGGGTGTTGTATCCCCTGAAACTGGAGTCACAGACAGTGGTGAGTTGCCTGATGTGGATTCTGGGCGCTGAACTCAGGTTCTCTGGAAGAGCAGCAGGTACTCTTAACCACCGAGTCATCGCTCCAGTCCCTGTTCCCCCATCTTTGGTTTTGTGAGACAGGATCTCAAGTATCCCACGCTGGCCTAAAACTTGCTGTGTAGCTGAGGCTGACCCTGAAGTCCTGATACCCCTGCCTCTACTGACGAGAGAGACAAGAGAGAGAGAGAGAGAGAGAGAGAGAGAGAGGACATATATGTATATACTTGTGTGTGAAGGTCAGAGGTCGATCTCAGGTGTCTGCCACAATGATTCTCTACCTTAATTTTGAGACAAGGTCTTTCAGTGAACCTGGAGTTTACTGGTGAGTGAGCCCCAGGCATACTCCTACCTCTGCTTCTATATCGCTGGATTTACAGGCACATGTTACCCCGCCTGGCCTTTTAAAAATGTGGGTGCTGGGAATCATACTCGAGTCCTCATGTATACACAGTAAGAACTTTCCGTGAGCCACCCCCCCAGCCTGAGAATCCTGAGGTGGGCTTAGACCACAGGGGCTCTGCTCTCAGGGTGGAATTCAACATGGCGAGTGCAGTTGCTTTTTGCCCCTTTGCCTTCCACCTTCCACCACGGGAGACGACATTCAAGGCATCGTCTGTGATCAGTGTTGCCAGTCTTGCCAACACCTTGACCTTGGACTTCAGCCTCCAGGGCTGTGAGCTCTCCAGCTTCTGTCTGCCACATTGCTCAGCCTTTGCTACCTGTTTTGCACATGTACAGATGAACTATGGACTGAAAGAGGTTGACACGCTGTTCCTAAGAGCTTTTCAAGGTAGCCTTGGGATCAGGTGGATACATTTGCAGAAGCCATGTTGTGCTGGTGACTGGTGCCACTTTGACCTGGGTGGCTTGGGTCTCTCTGATGTGTGATTCCTGGGAAAGTCACCCCTTGTCTGCGTCAGAGCCAGGACAGGCTTAGACATTCACCCCAGAGCTTCCCGTGGGGGCTGGGTCTTTCCGTGAATGTTCATCCCCTGAGGCTGTAGCCCTCTGGGGGTTCTGAATGTCTGTGTGTGTCTCCCTGGTGACTGAGAATGACTTCTGGGCATTTCTTCTGTTACAAATGGGAATCTAACCTAACTTTGTGACCAAAGTCAAGCTTAAACAATCTTATGAGGCCTTGGGTTCCTCTTGTAACCTAAACATACAGCTTTAATCCCTCATGACCCTTCCTTGCCCCGATCCAGAGTAATTTATGTGTGTTGTAAAAATAGTAAACTCTGAAAAATCATTGAAAGCAACAAATTATTCCCAGTTTATGTTGCAAACAACAGGTGGGATTATATGGATAACATCTGTTTGTGTTTGTGTGCTGATCTGAGTCAGTAGAGGTCAGAAGGGGAAAATCCTCTTCTGATAAGCCAAGGTTCCTCTTTCCCATTTCATGCTGGATGTACTGTTTCAATAGATACAGAGCAAATCCTTCGTTTGAGAGAACGGTTCCAAGAGAATTCAAAACACAAGTTCTGAGAACAGATTGGTTTTAAGTAATGCCAAGAATCAAACTGTCTTTGTTCAGAGGCCACTGTACCATGGGATCTCTCTGCCATAGAAAACCCTCCCTGTCCTGAGGGTGCGTGTCTGTGATTGTCCCCGAATTAGAGATTTTTTTGTATCACTGGGACCGAAACACTGGATACAAACCTGACATTTATTTTGGCTCATGGTTTCAGAGGATTTATCTCATGGTTGCTTGGCCTTGGACAGAACGTTATGGCCAGGGAGCGTGTGGCAGGGGAGGTTGCTCACATCCCTGTTGTCAGGAAGCTGAGAGGCAGCAGGAGTTGTCTGGGAATAATACACCCCCAAGGACACATTCTCAAGTGACTTACTTTCTCCAGTTCGATCCCACACCCTCAAATAACACCACTGTCTGGGAACTGAGCATTTAAAACTTGAGTCCGTGGGGGACGTGTCACCTCAGACCCCAGCACTCCCTCCCCCCAGCTACTGCGGATTTGTGCTTTGGGTGCTGGTCTCTGGTCTCCTCTGCTGTCTCGGAAGTTCAGAATTCTCTGTGATGTCTGCCTTTTCCAAAAGTTTGCGGGGGCAGGGGTGGGAGATCAGGCCACCGCATGAGCTCTTTGACAGGCACGAACGTTCCTGTCTGCCTTCTCACTCTCTTTGTTTGGTTCTTCCCTTGCATTCAGGTGCCCAGGAACCCGGACACTCAACACTGTCTCTCCTCACTGTATCCCAGCAGGTTTGTGCCGCCTACCCCCTCTCTGCCTAGGGGTAACCCTTTGGACCTGACCACATATGGAAATCCACAAACTGTGAGCTGAAATAAACCCTTCCTCTCCCTCCTCCTCCTCTTTTTTTTTGATTGAATTATTTTAATTTTATATGTTTATTTTGCCTGCATGTATGTAAGTATACCCATGCATGCAATGTCTGCAAAGGCCAGCAGAGGGTGTTGGATCCCCTGGAACTGGAGCTGCCATATGGGTGCTGAGACCTGAACCTGGGTCTTCTGCAAGAGCAGCCAGTGCTCTTAACTGCTGAGCTATCTCTCTGGCCCTGAAACCTTTTCTCTTTACAAGTTGATTATCTCAGGTATTTTATTACAGTAAGAGAAAAGGGCTAGTACACATCTGCTCCTCCTGCCCCCACTCCTCAGTCTAATTTCCAAGTCAGACTCTTTAAATTATTCTTGGTCATCCACTAAATCTGTCTGCAGTCCCGCTACATGCGACTCAGTGACAACGTAAACCATCATTTCTCTGCAGTTCTTTCTCCCAAGTCTGAGGTCCATGGTCCCTTGGCACTGCCTGGGTCAGTCCCCCAGCTTCTCAGCCCTGCTCCCCAGCCTCCTCCCACCTTCCTAGCCTCCCTCCACTTCCTCCCACCTTCCCAGCCTCCCTCCACTTCCTCCCACCTTCCCAGCCTCCCTCCACTTCCTCCCACCTTTCCAGCCTCCCTCTAACTTCCTCCCACTGTAGAACCCTGAGACCCTCTTCATTCACCCGCTACCCCCAATCCCTCCAGACCCCCACTAATTGCTCTTTTAGCTTCTGTAAAATGCTTGGCTGACTCTACTTCCTCCCACCTTCCCAGCCTCCCTCCACTTCCTCCCACCTTCCCAGCCTCCCTCCACTTCCTCCCACCTTTCCAGCCTCCCTCTAACTTCCTCCCACTGTAGAACCCTGAGACCCTCTTCATTCACCCGCTACCCCCAATCCCTCCAGACCCCCACTAATTGCTCTTTTAGCTTCTGTAAAATGCTTGGCTGCTGCTTTAGACATGCCTAGACATGCCCTGGCATGCCCTGACCCCCCGCCTGCTATTTCCCCCCCCCTCCAGGAAACTATAGATTAAGCAAGCCCACGCATAAAAACTGCCCTATAAGGTAAAAACGGAGACTCCTGGCCCCACAGGTAACAGTCAGCACATTCCACAGCCCTGAGAATAGCACCTACCAATAAGAAACTTCCAGGGCTGCATCTTATACATCCAATCGGTTTAAAATTATATTGGCGCGCGTGGGCTCTTTGAACCAATCAAAAATTATTTTCTGTTTTTCTACCCCCCCAGCACAGATCCGTTGAGTTGGTGAGGTCTGAGAGCCCAAGCTTAAGCCCGAATAAACCATAAACCTTTGCTTTTGCATTTTGGTGTGTTGGGTCCTCGGTGGTCTTTTTGGGGTCCAGCGGATGAGGTACAACACCACCTTCCCAGCCTCCCTCCAACTTCCTCCCAGCTTTCCATCTCCTGACCTCCTCCCAGCTTACAGTTGGTCTATCCTCCCTCTGCTCCTGTGAGACAGTTCACACACAAGGGCAGAAGAAACTAAAAATGCAGCTCAGAGTATTCACACCAGTTTGGAAACCCTCCTATGCAAAGTCCTCCAGAGCCCACCCCGGAACTCTCCTTCCTTTTTGATTGAGTGACTGGGATGCACCCTGCTGCCCTCCCTACTTCTAGACACCCTGAGTCTTCAGTGGCAAGGACATTCCAAGCTCTTTCTTCTCAAGGGCCTTAGTGTCTGGCATCTGATGTTTGGACTCTTGGTTTTAGTTGAAAGGCCTCCTCTGAGACGCCTTCTCTGCCCAACAGCCAGTCACACCTTGCATTCTGTAAAGCAAGATTTCTGTTTGCTCTTTGGCTCCTCTGTCTTGTCGCTGTGGTAGCCCCAGTCCTAGCCTCAGCCACCGTCCCTCTCCCACCTGGGAGTGACTGTCACCATGGCTCTGTGGGATGTGATTCGTGAATCACTCTCCTACCTTGGAGTCTGTTCCCCATGGAGTCAGGCTGAAGGTCCCGGCTGCACACTGCCAAGCAAGTCTGAAACCTGCCCCCCCGTAGCAGAGCTTCAGGTGACAAGGCAGCCATCCAGCTGCCGCTGGGGTCCAGCGCCTCCAGCAGTCCCCAGCAGTTGATCTCTTGCTGGCTGCTGCCGCCTATGGCCTCTTGGTGTCCTGAGAGATAGTTTCTGAGGGCGCCGAGAAGTGTGGAGAGGTAGGGCTGCTGGTGGGTGCGGATGAAGGCCACTGTTCGATCTGCATTGGAGGCGAAGGCCTGGAGATAGGCAGCCATACCCTCACTGGCATGGTCCACCGACAGGACCCAAGCCAGGGCGCGGGTTAGCTGCAGCTCTAGGGTCTGTTGGGAGTGAGTGTCCAGCAGGGCATCGCACCGTTGCACCACTTGTTTGTAGTGCCCATGGGCCAACAGGCCGGCCAACGGGTACAGGACAGTGGCAGGGTGGTCTGGGCAGAGGGCACCCAGGAAGGCGGAGGCCAGCGGCCCAGTCAGGGAGACCACTGCCATGCCGTCCCAGTGAATGGCAGGGATCTGGCTGTCCCCACGACACCAAGCCTCCAAGGTGGCTACTACAGGTGCCCCAGGGGCCTCAGTCAGGGCAGTCCTCACGTGCCTCATGGCTGAGGGGGCGTGGCAGCTGAAGGCAGCCAGGTAGAAGGCTGTGGCCAGGGCTGGCTCCCCCAGGGCCAGGTGCCTGTCCCCCTCCCGGCAGAGGCAGGTCACAAGCTCCTGGGCAGACATCGTGTGTGGTCCCCACTGGCTCACGTCTACTCTTCATAGGTACCTGATGGAGGAGAGCTGTGGTTAGTGCCCAGAGTGGCCTGCCTCCCTGCCCTGATGCCACCCGAGCCCAGCCTCGGAGCAGCCTCCCAACTCTGCCTCTGGGACTCCAGAGCCTGGGTGGATACTGTTGGGTAGAACCTGGTTCCTAAGGGACATTTGTGGCACCCCCTCAGTGGGTAGTCTCCACCAGCTGGGAGTGGGTGTACCAGGCTGGGTTCCCAGCCACCACTTTTTGAGCCTCAGTTTCCTTCTGTGCAGAGTGGGATGGGACCCTGCCTACTCAGGTCAGTCTAAGGGGGCCCTGAGGTTCACATGGAGAGCAACTGAGTGTTTAAGAGGCCAGGAGCCTGGACAGACCCTGGGGCACTTGGCTCCACATCATCTTTAGGTAGGCAAATGACTGCAGCTTCTGAGCGCCAACCCAGGGCCACACCTCTTCCCACCTGCTCACGTCTGGGTGATGTGGGCTGGGAGGACACGTGCAGGGATCAAGGAACACCTGCCTGGCCTGGGATGGAGGCTGGGAGCAATGGTGGCCCACCCTAGTGTCGGGAGTGAGCTCTGAGACCTATCTGCCTTCTCATCCCCAGTCTTCCAACTCTGGGCCCTTTAATTCCTGATCTCCCAGGTGCCTTCAATAAGCCCTTCCTGGCCAAGTCCCCCCCCCCCCGCCTCTTTCTGTCTCTCTCCCTCCCCCACTTCCTCTCCCCCCTTCCCCTCCTCTCTTTCCCCCATAATACTTATACTCACCCGATGTTTTAAGCTGAATCAGCCTTGCCCTGGGGAGGGAAATGCTCTGATAGTCCAGGTCCTTCTTGGACTGGAGTCAGGGGTGGTGGGTGCAGCTCTGAGCCAGCCCCAGGTGCCCTGGACTCCTGTAGAGACACCGCCCTAACACTGCAGACACAGGCCAGTCTTTGGCCAATCTTCTCCAGTTTCCCGGGAGAGTGTCAACACCTCAAGGATATTTGGCTGCTCAGCTGCGCCCCCTGGGGCCAGGCGGGTTCAGGCTGAGTCCCCACTTGCCCAGCTCTGGTGGCTTCTTTCTGAACTAGGGGTAGGGAAGGGGGTGGGTACAGCTCCTCCAGGCCAGGCTTCCCTAGGAGGCCTTGGAGCAGAGATGTTAAGTTCTCAGGGGTGTAGAGCCCCATGGCCAGGTCTGGTCTCTCTCAGCACATCCAGGCTCTGTATCTGACCCCAGAACTCAGCTTTGTTTGCTCCGGTGGTTTTCTCACTACCCACCCCCACCTGCACCCTTCTCCTGCAGGCCTGTGTCCACTTGGGTCCCGTGGGTCTTCCCACCTGGCTCTAGGTCCCTGCTCCTTGGGATGGACAGGTGGACCAGGACCTAGTTCTGTGCCCACAGCCTGTTTTCTGGGGTCATCTTGGTTCTGGCCTTGGCAGTCATGCTGAACCCCTCCTTGTTGGTGAATGGCCAGGTCTGGACTAAGAGCTAGAGTATGTAGGGTGCTCTGTTAGGAAGAGGAATGGGGACTGGGGCCTGAGACCTGGGCCCAGGTCCAGGCAGCTATCCTAGAGGGGACCCTGAAAAAAAGTGGGGTAATCCAGTGCACCTCACTGCAGAGGGCATCTGCTCCGGGTATTCCGTCCCGATTCACCACACCAAGGTGTCTAGGTGTGGGGCCAATGCTGGCTCCCCTGGGAGCTCAGGGAACTAGGTGAAAAGACTGCTGGGAGCCAGGGTCCTCCGATGTCCTCATTGGCTAGCTTTTGGGATGTGGTCCACAGTTCACTGATAAGGAAGCCATGAGCCAGGAAGGTCAGGACTGAGGTCTGGGCTCAGGGCAGGTATGGTCAGGAAGACCCATCTCCTGTATGGCCTACCTTTGCTTCAGCTTCTTGACATTCACAAAGGCATAGAACCCTTGTGACCAGCACAGTGGTGAGAGCTGATTAAGAAATTTCCCATTATGTTGCTTTGATTACTTTCATTTTAATTACCCTAATTAGGCTAGCTCTGTAATGGAGTGGGCCGTCCTATGGGGCTGTTGGAAGGGCCTGGGGCACACAGGGACAGGTCTATCTGACAATGGCAATCACATTAGCCCTGATCTGTCCCCTGTGTCCCTGCCTGGGTGTGGAACCTGAGTGCCCGCAGGCACTGGCCAGATGAGCTGTCTTCTGGTTGGGATTGAGCTGTGACTGCAGCAAGCCAGGGTACTGCTGGTGGCCATACTGCCTTCTACATTATGATTCTGTTCCTGATTCTGTTGTGTATAAAAACTGGGAGCTGGAGCTGAGTGGGGGAGGCCAAGGCCCTGAGTTTCACAATCCAGGCATGGGAATGGGTCATATAGTTTTAGTCTTGACATTCCAAAGGACTCCCACCATTTCTGACTCCATTCTAGCTGGTTGCCCCCGGGATCCTTGCCCTGTGCACTGCAAGGGAGCAGGCATGGCTGTCCACGGCCGGCCACAGAGAAACGGGGTCTCACAATGTGGAAGTGCCAGGTTCCCACTGAACCTGCTGCTCTAAACATCTCACGTGTTGGGAACCCAGGAAGTCTGAACAGGAGTCAGCCTTGCCCTCTAACAACCACCCTTACATACCCTATGAGAACAGCTACCCAAGAGGTGTTCCTGACACTTGGGTTAGCCCTCAGTGCTGATGACTTGGTATCTGTGGTCATGCCTGATCGGAGGAAGGGGCAGGTAAGGTCATGGCAGTCCTCAAGGTTCCCTGTATGTATGTCCAAGCAGAACCTTGAGGTGCTGTTCATTAAGAAGAGCCTTGAGCCAGGGTATTCACAGATGGATAGAGGATGGGGAAGAAGTTGAGGGACCTGCCAGAAGCTGACCTTGTGCTCTTGTGGAGTAGGGGTAGGACAGCCATGAGTCACTGCCCAGAGACAAGGCTCTTGGGGCCTGCAGGGGCTCTTTCTCAGCTCCCCAGTGTGAGCCTCCAAATACATGGACATCGTTGTATAGCCTGGAGGTGATTGCTCATGGGGGGTCTTTATCGACCCTCTTACCAGCCCCCAGATGCTCTCCCCCAAAAAGCTGGATTAGAAAGACCCAGTATATATGTCTTTCTGACAGTGAGGTGTCTCCCTCACCTAGTGGGCGGCGGCAGCCACCTCTTGCTTCTCAGATACTGACACATCCCTAAGAGCCAGGTTCAATCTGGTGGCTGGGAGACTGCTCCTCCTGCCAGGTGGGGGTCTGGGCCCTCCTGAAACCGAGACCCACTTTTGGTGGTGGATCCAGGGTGAAGGCCTTGACATGGTTCAGGGTGAGCTGGTCGGCCTTGTCTACCCAGTCCAGGCCCTCAAGGGAGGCTGAACTTCTCTCCCTTTGGCATCAGCATAGCCCCCCGCCCCAAGGTTTTCCCTGGGTACCTTGTCCACCTGCCTCCCACTCCTGTGCCTTCCCAGGTGCTCACCCAGGAGGTCACTCATTGTGTCCAAGTCAATATGAGTTAGAAAGAGTAGCTCAGGGCTCCACCCAGGATCCCGCAAAGGCAACCTTGGGCTCTCAGGGGTGTTTCCCACTCTCCTGCTGGCTCAGGGCCCATATATAGAACTGGCTTCTTTGCTGAGCTTGGCTCCTTACCATACCCATCAGGGCTACCTCCATCCCACACAAAGTGCTCCGCCAGGCTTTGTGGAACACCTTGGGCCGCCCTAGTCCCTGGGGCTTGGGACCCCCCTCCCCGGGTTCTATGTAACCTCATCCAACAGAGCCCCAGGAGGTTTACCTGGGGTGGCGTTCAGGACCTGGGGAGATCTTGGAGTCGCCCGATGTGGTTTCAGCTTCTCTTCTCTGCTGACCATGAGCAGGGATTTTAGGCAAACAACAGGGAAGAGGGGCAGGAGGAGGTCTCTCCTCTCCTCTTCCTTCTCATAACATGGATGCTGTCTCTGCCTCGGTAGCAGGCCTGGCAGCAGGCAGACACATCAGAGCCACACCTGCTGGGGAGCCGGCTTGTTTTGTTCCCTGGGGTCTTGTTCCATGCTGGGATCAATAATGTAGAGGTGTGGAGGAGGGGGGTGTCCCCCCTTCCCAGCCACCTGCCCACCTGCTGCTTCTGGTTGGTGAAGTCTCTCCTACAGAGTGCATTCTAGAATTATAGCTACTTCCCGGCTGTGGGTGAAACTGAGGGCCAGGTGCCCGAGTAAGGATAGGTTTGCAGAGTCTTATGTCCTGGCTTGTGGAGGCTCCCCATCTAGATAGAGGTTTCTGGGTTCTCCAGGTTGATAGCTCAGCTTCAGATAGTGCTGTTTTACAGACGGGAGGCTGTGACCCTCCATGACTGGTCTGCTCAGTGGGGACCCTGTCCTCCCAGTGATACTGGGTCCTGAGGCCCAGACCCTCAGGGCGTCCCTGACAGGGAAGTGTCCTAATCAGAGCCCTGGGTTTCTGTCCACCCAGGCACAGGGGATCAGCTAGAGTGAGGGGATGTCCTTGGACCCTCCTTCCGAGCTGCTTCTCTCTTCACACCCACTTGCCCCACTGTCAAAGCACAACACAATTGTGACCGCCCTCATCTAACCTGTGCACCCCCAGCTTGTTCAACTCCTGAAGTCTGGCTCACAAAGCCCACCCAGGTCCCACCCTGCCCCCTCGCCCCCATCTCAGCACCCAGATCACTCACCCCAGCCGCAGTGACCTCTTATTTATTTACTTTTATTTTCTGTGTATGAATGTTTTGCTTGCATGTATCTAAGTGCACACATGGTGTGCAATGCCTACAGAGGCCAGAAGAATCTGGAACTGGAGTTACAGAAGATTGTCAGCTGCCATGTGGGTGCTGGGAACTGCACCTGGGTCCTCTGCAGGAGCATTCGGTGCTCTTAACCACTGAGTCATCTTTCCAGCTCCCACAGCAGCCCCTTGTACTGCCAGACCCCACCCTGCTCCTCTATAAGCTGGTTCCCCCTATTCCAGCTTGACGCCTTCTCACATCCTTTGGGTCTGGTCTCAGCCATCTCCCGCCTTTAGGCAGACCTTGGCTGACAGTCCCATGGGAGATAACTTCCCTGCTCCTCTGTGCACCCGTCTCCACCAGCCCTGTGCTCACTTAGGTATTGGTTACCTCCTCGGGATGCCAGCCCCTGTCTGGGAGCTCAGGGTTGGGTTGCCACCACCCAGCAGGTGCCTGGCAGGCAGCCAGTAAGGCGGAGAGGAAGAAGAGGAAGGAACAAGGTTCTACCCAATGTTTCCATGTGCTGCTGTGTAGGGGGGATCCTGGTCCTCTAAAGGTCAGCCCTGAGACGCATATGTCTCCAAACTCAGCCCCTTGATCAGACGCTTCCGGTTGTTGCTGAGCAGAGCAGATGCTTGAGCCGGTTCCTTTAACATTAAGAAGTTCCAGAAGTTTCCTGGCCTCCTTTGCCTACTCTTTCCCCTAAAACTTTGTCACCAACAGGGCGACAGGGAGAGATTGATGGCGCTGCGCCGGGAGCCACTCCGCAGTCTGTGTACACAGCCTAGATTGCCTTGAACTAACGAAGTTTATCAACCAGGCCACCAGGAACCATTAATCACGCCGAAAAATAACAGAGCAAAATGACTTTTCAAAATGCCGTGGGTATAATGATCATCTCGCCCATTCTGCTAACTGCAGCCATTTGTGCCTGAGATACTTAAGTATGCAAACAGTAATTAACGTGGTAATGAACGGGGGGCCCAGAGCCTCCCCTCCCTGAGCTCATTTGCATGTTAATTATCATCAGCGACTAGGGAAACAAGTTATAAACAGCCTAATTAGCACCCGGATCATTTTTACAAGAAATTGTGTGCACTTTGACATGAGAGCAGGCTTTAGATTAATGACACCAGGTGGAACTGCCCCTCCT